ATGCGCGCGCGCTTTCCCGCGCTTCGCGCTAATACGCGTGCGTGTTCCCGCGCCTTGCGCGCACCTGCGCTTTCTCGTGCTTTGCTGAAGCGCGTACCTCTAGATCTTGGCTGCACTCGCTTCCCCTTTAGGGTCGAACGCACTTGTCTCCTCAGGTAACGCAGACTAGGCAACACTCGACCTACAACATTTTTAGATACAGTTAGGAGCTTTATTTGTTCCTCTCAGTATTGTTGTTTCTACACCGTGTTCGTTATTTTCGCTATAGGACGATAACTGAGAAGCGTGGAATGTGGGGTGGATCTTCCATTGCGGTGGTAATTGGAGTGTGAAAGTGATCAGTGATAGTACTGCGGAGATAACAAATGGTCCATATCATTTCGGAGCGAGTTTCCGAGATGGAAGTTTTAACCTGAGATTGGTAGAAGATAGCCATACCTTATCTCCGACTTTCCACGGTTGGTACTTCTGTCTGAAGGATCTTTCTGTCATTCGTTGCATAGCAATGTTATGACAGGCCACTGCTTCTTCTCTTATCTTTTGGAGAAGTTTTACTCATTCTTCTGCTGCAGGTACCTTTGATTCAGGGAGAATATGCGGAAGAGCCTTTGGTTCATATCCCATCATGATGAAAAAGGGGGAAGCGTCTTTTGTTGCATGTCTTCAATGATTGTGGACGAATTCAGCGATAGGGAGATGTTCTACCCATTCAAACAGGTTGTTCTGGCAATATATTTGTAGATAGGTTTCCAGTTCCTGATTTAGCCGTTCTGTTTGTCCATCGGTTTGTGGATGATATGCAGTGGAAGGAGCGATGGTGTAATCAAGGAGTCGTGCCAATTCTAGCGAGAATTTGGAGAGAAATTGGGGTCCTCTGTCCAATATTACTTTGTCATGAAGACCAAAGTGTTTGAAAACATGCTTTAGGAAAAGCTTCGCCACTCCTTCGGAAGATATAGTTTTGTGACAAGGGGTAATGATCACTCCCTTACTAAGCCCATGGTCTACCACGACCATGATACTGTCGAAGCCCGAGGATACAGGGAGATCAGTGATGAGATCAACAGAGACCTGCGCGAAGGGACGGGTGGCAGTGGTTGCAATAGGAGTTAGGGGAGGGGTGGTAGGGTGGGTATCGACCTTCATTTGCTGGCAGGTTGCGCATCCAACAACATATTTCCTAATAAATGTCCCCATGCCGGGCCACCATGCTTCGCGTTTGACTAATTCCTCCATTTTAAAACAGCCAGGATGCCCCGCAGTGGGATGATCATGGTGCTTCTCTAGGATTCGATGCCGATGATCAGGTGCAATATACGCGCGATTTTTATAGAAAAGGATATCATCAGAAATTGACCAATCCGAGAGAGAGGATTTCATTGGGGGTAAGCAGAGACCATTCAAGGCATCTTGTGCAGTAGCAAAAATGGGATCACGAGTTTCCGAAGATAAAGCAGCTCGAAGATCATTGTCAATGAGTCGGATAAACATGGAATCCGGTAGTAATACTGTTTCCTGGTTATCAGCAGATCCGTCATCATGGTCCGGTCGTCGGGATAACGTGTCTGGAACGACTAACTTCGATCCAGGAACATGATGTAGTTCTAGATCGAAAGTAGTCAAGAATAGCTGCCAACGGGCTTGCCTTCTAGAGAGTCGTTCTGATTTTCGGAAATATAAGAGATTCATGTGATCGGTGAATACGAGGATGGGGAAAGAATGTCCTTCTAGATAATGTCTCCAATGAGAAAGGGCTCATATTATGGCCAGTAATTCCCTGTCATGGATCGGGTAGTTTCGTTCCGCTGGTCCAAACGACTGAGAAAGGTAAGCACATGGATGGTAGTTACCATTCTCGTCTGTTTGAAGCAACACTCCTCCAGAGGCAACAAGAGAGGCATCCGTTGCAATAGCGAAGTGTCGAGAAGGATCAGGATTACGGAGCACCGGGTGACTGGTGAAGCATGCCTTGAGCTTTTCAAATGTTTGCTGACATAACGGGGTCCAGGTGAATAGTGTCCTTCTTAGTTAAATCAATGAGAGGTCGGGCTATATCCGAGTAATGAGAGATGAAGGTTCGATAGAAGTTACAAAATCCTAGAAAGGAGCGAACTTCTTTTACTGATTGAGGGACAGGCCAGTCTTGTATTCCGTTTGTTTTGTCTTTGTCCATTTCTACGTGCCCCGGTTTGATGATCATGCCCAAGTATTCCACTTCTTGAGAGTCGAAGGTACATTTCTCTGGTTTCAAGAACAACTGTTCTTGACGGATCTTTCCTAAAATAACACGAGTTCGTTTTTGATGTTCTTCAATCATGGTGGAAAAGATTAGGATATCGTCCATATAGATGACCAGCCATCCTTCGTTAAGTTCCGCTCGGAACGTGCTATCCATATAGGCTTGGAATGTGGCAGGAGAATTGCATAATCCGAAGAACATAACCGTTGGTTCGAATAATCCTTCTTCCGTGATGAATGCCGCTTTCCACCTGTCTTCGGCATGGATACAAATATTATTATATCCGGATCTAATATCCATTTTAGTGAAGAATTTAGCACCATGTAATCGTTCGACCAAAGATGAAGGAAGTGGAAGGGGATACGCATTCTTTATCATTTGGTCGTTTAGGAAGCGATAGTCCTGGCATGGACGAAGTTCTCCACTCTTCTTTCCTACGAAGAAAAACCCGCTTGCTTGCGGAGATTTTGATTTGACAATAAATCCTTTAGCTAGGTTATCAGCGATGAATTTTTTAACCGCGAGTCGTTCATTGTGGGAAAGGGGATAGATTTTGGACGTTTTTGGAATGAAACTAGGCTTCGTTTCTATCCGATGATTGATACCGGGTCTTTCCGGGGGAAGTTGATTTAGACCGCCGTCTTTTGCAAATATATCAGAGAAGTCGTGGAGGTAAGAGGGAACTAGTTCTTCGAAGGTTTTCTTTTGTTTGACTTTTTCTTCGGATGCGAATTCTTGAGCTTTATTACTGTACTTTGGTGTTTCATTTGGAATTTCTTCTATTCTCTTGAGATATTCTCCGTCATCCGTAAGAGCTCCGGGGAATACCGGTGAAGTTGTCCATACATCTTCTTTGGTATTGAATTCTTTGAAGAACATTTTCTTTGGTCTTGATGTTTCTTTTACGTACTTTTCTACTTCTGTAGATCTCTCCATTGCAGGGAGAGAAAGAGTCTGACTGGCCCAGTCAATGGATGGGTTCATCGCTCTAAGCCAGGGGATTCCTAAGAGAATTTGATCTTTAGTTCCTAACTTTGTGATATTGAACTTTCCGATCATCATTCGTTCATCAACTTTGATGATGAGCATACAGTATCGCTCTACTGGTCCACTACTAAAGTAGCTTCCATCTGCGGTTTTTCCAGTTTCTTGGTTCAGATTTTGTGCTTCTTTACAAAGTCTTCGGAGATATAGGTTCCGGCTGCTCCGGAATCGATTACTGCATTGGTTTCGACATTTTCTGGATGTGTTCGCGAGACAAGGGTGATTGGGACACAAAGTTCTTTTCTTTCACCTATTGCTTGTATTACACGAATTGGTTCTTCTGGAGATACTACCGTCGACGTAGACCTCCTCTTCAAAAATCCTCGTCGACTCGTCTTGCTTCTTCTTCTTTTTCCTCCACTTGTCGAATGGGTGGGGAAGATCCGTTCTTTTTCTGAGGACATTCCCTAGCGCGATGCCTGATTTGATGGCAGTTGAAACATTTTCCGATCCGCATGTGCTCCTGTTTTTCGACTTCGGTAAGCCTACCGATTCTGTCAATCACCATGGTGTCTCTGTCCCTAGCAGGGACAAATCGTTGATCCCCGAATCTTCTTTTCTTTTGTTGGGGAAAAGAATTTGCCCTAATAGATTGGAGCCGCATATAGCAGTTATCCATATCCACGACTGCGGTAATATAGTCGTCTAGGTTCTTCGGAACTCCTCCAGCATTGAATATCTTGGTAAGGAGTCCGGTGTTCAGCCCATTCTGGAAATGGAATATTTTCATGTGTTCTTCTTTGATCTTTGCTTGTGCGAGGAGTCTTTGGAAGTCTGTGATGTAGCTTTGCAGTTCTCCGTTGCCTTGCTTGAGGTGAATGATTCTTGCTAAGGCAGTTCCGGAAGGGTCAATAGCTCCAAAATCTTTGTCGAATACTTCCATGAATTCTTTCATTGTTCCATATCCTTTCTTTTGTCCAGAGGAATCGATGTGTTGGGCGTCCGTCAGGAATTCTTCTTTCCACAGCAGGGCATTTCCTTTATTCATAAATGAGGTGATGAAGATGACGCGTTGTTTGTTGGTTTTGTATAATTCCTCGTTAATGTCCATGTATGCATTGCAGGATAGGATAAAAGATTTAGACTTTTCTCGATCTCCATCGAAGATGGGCGGATGATTAATCTTGTATTCGAATAGTTTTGATGGAGACGACATGTTCAATGGCGGTACGGGGGTACTGAGATTAAGGGCTTGAAAGGTGGGAGTGAGTGAAGTCAGTTTGTCGTCTCTTCTTTGCCTGCACTAGCTGTCTTGCTCAGCCAGGGCTTGTCTTTGTTCTTCTGTTTCTTTTCTTCAGAACACGTGTGGATACAGGTGTCCTTTTGAAAGACTTGAATCTTTTGTTACGAACTAGGGTAGTTCTAACAACAGCGACTCGACAGAGTTTCGAGCTGTTGAGTTTCGTGAAGTCCTTCAGAAAAGAAGGGGTTCAGTAAAGACTTAGTCGAAGGAGTGCTTCAACTAAGAATGCTAGTTCAGACGACTTAAGATTGGAGGTCTTAAGCGAAGGAAGTTCTGGTAAAACCTAGTAAGATTCAAGTGAAGTTCTACAAGGCTAATACACGTGCTTAAATAAGCCGATATGTGCGCACAGACCAAGGTAGTCGTGAGATATAAGTACATAGTTCAAGAAAGGCAAGTGATCATAAATGAAAAGTGTACTGTCGGATAAAAGGGACAAATAAGCGAAAGAAAAGCATGATTGTAACAATAAGTCTAATTTGACCAATTGTGTGACCTGAAAGATAATAGTGAGAATGTATTCAGCATGATAGAAGGTTGTAACATACCACGAAGACCATGAGCAGGCCAAAGGCACCCTAACTCATTGTTCACAATAGCTGAGTCGTACCTACCAGAGTTCCAGACATCAGAAGGCAGCACACAATTCAGGGTCTGCGCGGGCCGTATGATGCTACTGTCGTGAAACTCTGTGTCCTGTAGGTGAAGTTTGAACCAGATTTGAATTTTATCAAATGGCAGGGAAGCAGTAGGTCCAGCCCTCCTGGCTCCCCCAATTGTGTGGACATAATTCTGTCCATGGGTAGCTTCATGACGAAGAAAATCAGCAATGGCCAGCCGTAAGTCAGGAAGGCCGAATTTGATAGCAGCATCATTGATGGAGATGGATCTGATGGATGGGGAATACGTGAGATGATAGGCCGTGCGTCCGATGACAAATGTGCGCAATGGCAGAGGGACAGTCCCAACCTCCTTATGCTGGAGGATCTTCGCAATCGCAAAGTAATTGGTGATTGGGCGCGAATGTCCAGGACATTTTATAGTGGCCGTAAATTCCGTGGGGAGGTCATCATCATCATCCGCATCAAAGTCAACATCATCACCAATATTGTCATCCTGTAGCCTCGAGCTTGCCATACCATCCACAAGACTCATTGCAAGGTCAAAGCGACGGCACTTATCAACCCGGTCAAGATGTTGACAAATTTGAGGATCATAGTTGTTGTTGTTGCTTGATCGTGCGGGGTCTTTAATCTCTGTAATGTGTGCATGCTCTGTTGTGTCTGCAGTCCATTGCATGGCGACACCAGTGTTGCGGATGCTGGGAACTATGCTCTGCATGAGCTCCAATTTGGGAATGTACCAGTTATCAATAACTTTGTTCTTGTTGCCTCGACGAAATCCTCCAGCTGTGATAGCGTGTTTATTGGCATGAAATTCATCGAGGGCTCCAGAAATGCGCTTGATGTCGTCTTCATCAATACGTGGTGACTGGATGAGATACCGAAATTCCATCAATGCTCGGACAGCAGTGATCACAGCACTAGGTGCTGCATCCGCACTGACTGCAACAATCGAACGCTGAATGTCACATTGAGTTCGACCTGTAACCTGTTTTAGCTTGGAGATACCACCATAAAAATGACGAAAGCCAGTGACGGGCTGCAACACAGAAAACCAGAAATCAATTTCCATATCCCTGACTGCACAAATCATCCACTTGACGTCGTGATCGTAGAATTCTCGGTGAATGAGATGCAGAAATTCTGGAGTGAGGAAATGAGACGGTTCACCAAGGGTCCAGTCCTGCCAGAAAGGTTTAGAGACACCGTTCAGGCGAAATTTCTGCGCTTCGCGAAAGAAGGCTTCAATGTCATTGGGATCCGCCCTTGTTTGAACGACAGCCAGCTGTGCAAGTGTGGTTGATTTTGTGCGAGGTTCGTGACGGAAAGGGTCTCCGAACTGTTTGAACATGGCCATGGTGACTGGAGATGTTTTCCCACTGACAGTAGCTAGCATCATAGCCTCTGGAGTGTCAACAATATAGCTCACCAGGGGGGTAAAACAATAGCGGCTATGTCCAACAGGGTCTGATAACATGACTCCTTCACATGCAGCCTGCTTGAGCAGACGCAGGACGATATCTAAACATTCATGAATTAAGCGATCCTCGAGTACACCTCGCATGCGTTTATTCTTATGTATAAATTTAGGTACGGGGAGCAAGGCGGTGAGTACAAAGGAGTTGGACAATGTCTTGAGTCGTGTGGACATGTTGATATTCGCAAGGCTGACGAGAAGCGGGTGCGCAACTCTGTCGCCCATCATTGTGGATATATTCGTTTTGTCAGATGATAGAATGGTTCCAAGGAGTGTTGCACCTTTGGGTAGGGCAGACTGTTGAGAAACCAATAAGTTCAGTGACTGGTGCAAAACATGAATATATACCTGCATATTCCATGCGTCATCGCCTGTCATCCATTCTGAATATACACGACACAAGCGTTGTGCAGTAGTATAGACCCTGTGAGGCGTGAAGTCTAACCGATCGTGAAAAAGGGATGATTCAGAATGGCTGAAATACAGTCCAAGGGATCACGCCAGTACAAAATGATGGGTGATTTGGTGGGATGACTCGTAGAGAGCACTTGGGACATCCAGCGTGGACCACTGGGCAACATTTCTGCTCTGCCTCGCAGTTCCTTGGCTGAGGAAAAAGATATTGGAAGACCCTTGATCTTGACAAAAGACTTATCATCGTAATTGTAATGAAAATGAAACAATTTGCTTACTATGTCGAGTGATAAAAAACTGTCTATCTTCCCCATGCTCAATCCTGAGCGCAGTAACCACGATGCAATCTCCCAATCCTTCCGGCCACTGAATGGGTAATAGGGATTCTTGGCACGGTACACGCTATTCTCATCAGAATTGAATAAGTCGAGGAAGGTGTACCCCATGCCATACGTCCGAGAAGATTCGGGATACCGGTCGACGAAATCTGAGGCACCATTCAGAAGTAATCCCTCCTCAGAGGCCTGGCCACCACTCTCACCGCTACCTTCAAATGACTCGTCTCTATCTCTGAATGTGAACTCAACCTCAGCCTGAGACCCACCACCGGGAATATTCGGTTCGTCCAAGTCATCTGTATTCATAGAATCGTCAGATAGGTCCCACAGACGTATTAAATCCTGTAGCCAGGTGCTACATCCTGAGCGAGGCTGGCTCATGTGACGAGCAACAGCAACCTGATCTCTGAAACCGGCTTTACCGCATGAAGGACACTGGAAATTGGACATGATGTCCTCGCAAAGTCCGACACTTGTGAGTCGTGAGAAGCCCAATTCATAATCAATAACTTACTCTTTGTTTCTCTAAAATGTCAGCCCCACCAATCAGTCTTAATCTCAGCAATGATATCCCATCATCATATTCGTGCCTGATGCCTTGTACGCACACACACCCTGTTCAGCAATGTCCAAGTTGTCACTCGTGTTGTCACAATTCCAGCGGTATTTCTGACCTGTATGATATAGCCGATGGTATCGGGTCAATGGTAAGTCAATCATATTGTATTGCTTTCGCTCTAAGTAACATGGTACTTACAGTCAATCAACGACACCGATGAACTTGAAGCCAACCTCATCATGGACCTAGTGAGGGCGAGGCGGGATGTATTTAGGGTGGAGAAGGTGCTAGCGGATTGTGTAGTGCGAGAACGCGAAATCATGGCGAATCTTTCTAAGCACCAGTCCAATGTTTCGAAGAAAAAGCTCGACAAAGCAGATATAGGATTAGGGTATATGTGAATTACTTTTCAAAAATACGGTCTTTCTCACCATTCACTTGCGCCATGCAGTTTGCAAGGTAAGTCATATCTGTTCACATTCGCCATTGCAAACTTCATGTCTTATCACAGAACAATCCAACCGTCGTGTATCAGTAATTTTAGACTGATGACTCGAGCTATTCTTATTCTTTTGTGTTCAAGTTCGGCACGCGCATTAGTAGTACTAGTATGTACAGTACTACTACTATATATTGGTATTTCGTTGAATATAATGTTTGTATCGTAATTGGGGACAATGTGCAAATTCAAGCTAGCAATTCAAAGGAAGTTCCGAGCCTGCTACTACTCAGTACTAAGTACTAGTACTACTAGTAGACTTCAACACTTTAAAAAGATTGAGGCCGTTGAGCTGGAAACCATTGAATTTATTTTGAACAGTCTGACCTGGTTGTGAGCTCTGTGACCACTTTGGCGTCTGGGGCTGTACGTTCTGTGAGCTCTGTCGCCACTTTGGGTGGCTGGGGGAAACTGTCGAAAATTGCCATATCTGTGAAGAAATTTCTAGTTTGCAGATGCTCCCTTGGATCCGTTCTAACAGAATGGAATGTATATTTGGACCATGTTTGGTGCTGTTTGCATCGCAGGACCGGTAAACAAGACATGGCAACATTTGTCACTCCCTGCAGGCATATGCATGTCATGCGGTCGATCTCGATCAACGGTCTCCCAATTACAGCTTATCTACAGTGTAAAGACTCTCATGCATGATATATAGTCCTTCGGGCGCGCGAACGCCTTTCCACACGATTGCAGGCTTGATCTTATCGGGGGCATACCCCAACCGTTGCCTTTATATTCTGCAAACTTAATTTTGATTTTGGGGCACATGGCAGGTCAACGTAACCTGAATCTATCTCAACATAACCGAAACAGAATTATCAGCAAGTAGGTGGCAAAACACGACGAACAGTCCAAGGTTCATGACAAGAGCTGCTTCCCTAGACATGCGTGGCAGCGACACCATATGGAACTGCAGAACATGGACGCATCGACGGGTGTGCTTGCAAATGCACACTGCGGCTTCTCGCTTGGCGTCAGTGACCCTTTGGCTTGCAAATGCACACTGCGGCTTCTCGCTTGGCGTCAGTGACCCTTTGGCTTGGGAAACTTCGTGGGATTGACCACTGTTGAAATAACTCAACTTGGCCTGACCTCGTTTCCTCGATAATCAGAGTCAGACATTGGATTTAGGGCTGAAAACCATTCATGTCCTTGTAGCAAGTTCAGCCATTCCCTCGTCAGCTCGCTCATGATTTCCTCACCCTCGTTCCAGGCGCAAGTAGAGGATGTCCGATGACTTCTCAGGGATGCCGTTCGGCCCTGTGGCAGTAATCTTGGTCAACCATGACATATGGTCGCCCCAGGACGTACCTATCATTGATATGACCGTTGAACAATGGGACCACACCATCAGTGCAAACCTCACCTCAAGCTTCCTGTCCTGCCGTGAGTTCTTGCGCCACTTGCGTGCAGCAACAGAAAGCATGAAAGATCTGGCTGCAATTGTGCTCATCGGGAGCACATCAAGCAAATGTGGCGAAGCGAATCACGGCGATTATGCTATCAGCAAGAGTGGTGAGTTTTATGTTTGTCGTGAATCGCTATGTGCTGAGCGCGAGTATTGGCAGCGATGATGTGTGGCTTGACGACGACACTCAAAAGTGAGATCGTGAAGATCGCACCGAGGGGACGTGTGAATTGTATTGCACCTGGATGGGTTCCGACGCCGATGGTACAAGAGGCCCTGAACGATCCAGCCATCAGCGGACCTGTATTAGCCGCGTGAGTCATGGTCATTCTCTTCACCTACTTAGTGGCTTATCTTCTTTATCAGCACTCCGTTGAAAAACACCTCTGGACGTTGCAAACCAAATAGTGGTAGTGTCTTCATCTGTGATCTCGGGACATGTGACAGGGCAAGTGATCTTTGTAGAAGGCGGTTGTGTAGGGGACATTTGAACAGTGACTACGAATAAGTCAAACACAGGATCGTGGCTCGCGTCAGTACATGAAAGTACATACTTGGGCAGCAGACACGTGAAGTATATGTTGTGAGCTCTGCAGCCTGAGTATGATGATCGTATAGCTAGCACCCCGAAACGGACCTCTGAGATTGCCCAGTACTTCCAATCGAAGGGGAAAACTACCCAGCAAGCTGTGCATAGTTTGGTGGCAACATAATGGCAAAAATTACAGTCAGGGTGCTCTCTGCACTTGCTGTGATCCATCCCTTGGATCGCTTCTAACAAGGTGCCAGCTCGCCTCTGTATGATCTATATGATCATGACTAATAAGACTGTTCCCCAGATTGCTCCGTTTATGGAAGGTAATTTGAACTTACTAGTAGGGTCGGAGCTGGTGTTACCGCGCTTATTTTCTATCGGATCTGCACTTAACACTTAAGTTTGACTGCCGGCATGTCCAAGGTCATACTAGCCTGTTTGAATTCGATTGCAGTGACTCGGAGTGTCCTTGAATGTGATCACAAAAGCAGGAATCTCGCAATCGCTAGCCAATAACTTGCGTTCGCACCTTTCCATGTCACCGGTTCACTCCGAAAGAGCCTCTAATGAATTAGCTTGCGTCACGCATTGGCTTCGACATCCGATCGACGCCTTCAGGCCCAGGGCTCGAGTAAGATCAAGATTGCAATTATGTTGATCGACGAAATGATGCACGGCATACGTATAGGAAACTGAGGGACCCTGGACCGGTCGAAATGTAGATTTTCATAGATGAAGTTGTTTTCAACATACACACCCCTTGTAAGCTTAATTCCACTACTTCAATGGATCTGCACGAAGTAATCTTTGAGCCAAAATTAGTACGGCGAACTCAAGAGCACGGACAAGGCGTACTAGTGCAGATTAATGGGATTAAATGCCGCTGAGTTGCCTTGGACCGGGACATGCCGGTTGAACATTCCTAATATTGGGGGCCGACGTCGACGCGCTGACTGAATTATGGTTTTTCTTGTCAGCACTTCTCCCTCTCCGCACTAATTTACTCACAGCGTGACAGACGTTTAACGAAACAAACGCGTTGCCGAATATGTTTTCCGTTTCAAGTGAAAACCGATGAAAACCGAGCGGTTACCAAACGGGCCCTCAGTAACTCCGCATCAATTCATCCCAGTAAGAATGGGACGATTCGAGCATGCATTAACATTGCCCTTACCCTGTGTCGAAGTTTGCTCCCTTGAAAACACTCGACATTACAAACAACGGTGTTTCTTGTGCATGGAAATGAAGAGGTGGATAAACACGCCAAATCAGCATCAGAAGGTCACCACAATGATAGCCCAGTTGCTCGCCTACCCCGCTACCTCCGTCATCCTACCCTCCCTCTAAGTATTTCGGATTTGAAGGAGTCGCAAAGCAAGAATACAGCTGAGTGCTGTAAGCACCTCTGGCGCATATCCTCCCATTTCTACCATGTAGCGCCGCTCATTTGTGCTTGTCCGCACGAAGTATATGTTCACTTGTGAGTGTTTCGTCTTATATGAACTTGCTTCCATTCATTGCACTCATTTTTAGTCAGTATTTTTTGCCTAGTGATCTCACTTGCTTGTGCTTGTCTACTCTCGCAGTCTCATCTGCTCTCACTCTGGCTCTCACTCCAACTCTGGCTCGCACCTTCTCGCTCGTAGCTCTCACTCTCGATCTCACTCGTTGCTCTCACTCGGGCTCTCGTTCATGGCTCTCACTCGTTCAACCCAATATCCGTGGACCAATACCTGTACCCGTACCCGTGCCATTGCCTACCCTCACTTCCTTCATCAAACTCTCCGCCAACTTCCCAAAACGTCTCACCGGCTTGTACATCTTCCTACGCACAGGACATACTCCACTTAATAAGCACCTAGTACACCGCATACAAAGTCAGCCAGCCCTTGGTAACAATCTATGATCTTCCACATCCGGTCCGAAGGATATGCTCCTTCATCAGATTCGGGCGCTTGAACCCCTGTCTGCAGCCTGGACAAACAGCCTTAATCTTCCCTTCGTGCACCTCGTTGATGTGACGAGTCAGGTTATCCTTGTTGACGAGTGTCGAACACCCGTCCCTGGTGCACTTTACTTTGTCTTTTGCTTGGCTAGCCTGCACAACAGGGGCAAACAACCGCGCAGCGGGTTTGTAAACGGAGTCGGAGGTGCCACGGGGCGATGAATCTAGAAATCAATATTTTCAGTGTTACAAGGAAAAGCTGCGAATGATAGCAAATTCACCAAGGCGAGCATCCACACTCTCTGATGATGATTTCGCGACACGCGGGTCACCAAATGTCGGAAAGCCTTCGGAGTACATGCTGTACTGAGGCGCTACATAGTCGGCAAAACTGCGGGTGCCGTGGGGCAATAGACCTATACGCGGTAAGCATTTAAAGGAAAGATTGCGTATACAGCAGCTTACCTTCTGGAGAACCTGTGCCCTCTAACAGCGATCCTGTGACTCCAAACGATGTTCCATTGAATACAGGCTGTGGCACGAAGCCGTGTTTATGCGAAGATGCAAACGGTGGAATAGCATGGAAGCCATCAAGTCTAGCTTGGGAGTCGATAATGGTATCATATTCGCCCGAATTCTCCATCGTGACATCTGACTCGTCATTTTCAAGGACATTCTTAAAGAGGCTGCGGATCTCCTGGATTTCCTCGTGCACACGACGCTCTAACTTGTCTAGGCGGTCGAGGCACTGGAGACATGACTGCCGGACTAGTCTCGTTGAATGTTGGTCAGGGGCCTGTCCTGGCCATGAGGACGATGGGTTTTGTAGTATTGATCTGGATGAATCTATGGTGCGCTCGTGTCTCTTTCTATGGTGCACACGTAAGCTGTTCATCTGCAGACTCTGAGCGACAAGTGAAGCGGTGCGAATGCGAGAGAATACTTCGAGAGTTGGGAAATTGAATACAACACCCCAAGGCTTTTATCTTTATCATATGCTACATGCCCGTGGCGCGTCTGGCAGGCGTAGTCTAGACTACCTTGATCCAGTAAGTAATTTCCGTGCAACCTGCTACCTCATGTTGAATGGATTCGTCGGCAAGTCTTCCCGGAAATGAAAATGGAATTCATCGCCTGCGATTCGAGTCTCATCGACTTGGGTGCTATCTGTCATAGATTCAGATCACTCAACAGTCATGCGCGGCCTGTTTGCTTCCAGGTGACGGTCAATACGATATGGATGAATTTTCATACATCCCCGAAACAGTAGTGTGCTATGTAATTGGACGACTCTCATTAGAAGTCGGCGCGACTTACTGGTCGTCGGGATATGTCTAGCTACTGCGGTAGTTCTATTCGGACGGCCTCCGCTGCGGTGACTTCCTCCAGACCTTCTTAACCAAGACCTACGTTACGACAAGAAAGGTTCATTTAGGTTGGTAAACTCATACTTCATGATGTTAACAAGGGCAGCCCTGTTCTAGCAGATATGGCAGCGATACGACAGGATCCCGCTCTTCATCAATACTGATTGATATTGCCATTCCGAATCGGCTTCCAAACATAGCCCATATGTTCTCTTCCATAAAATCCGCGATAAAGAGCTAATTACCGCCTGCCATACCATCAGCGATTCACATTGGCACCTTACCTGTTGGTTTACCGTATGGTCATTATCTCGACGCCACCCGCCATAAAATTTACTTCTCTCTGAGACTTCAATTGACTTCGCTGAGCGCATCACATCGTGATGCACAGCCAACTCTGCTTTGTAACACGTACTTCGAATTATCCTCGCCTGATACTTCCCCCGTCATGTGTGCCATTTATCGCGGAGTTTTTCTGGGTCTTGGTTCCATTTTCACTGCCGCAGGGGTTATGCTGTCGTGGGCAAAATTAGAGATAGAATTAATGCCGCAATCCCCCCTACGGATTATTCTAATGTGAATAAACTCACCGCATCTGCATTTAAATGTGTTCCGGTGTTATTCTGTGAAAGGAGGGACTGGTACGGGAGCAACAACAGCAGGAGTATCAGTCATATCAATATTGTTGCATCAATCGTTGATCGGTCATCTTTATGAGATATGGACGGGAAGCATCACACATATACGTCATCTCGAGTGCTTGATTCGTCGGGAGCTTGAACAAGCTCTGGTCCGATCTATCTCACCACCACTCCAATGGAAAAAGACTCGCTAGAAAACTCCAATGGTAGAGCTGCTATCTCGAAGTCAGTCACACGTACTCGTCCGGCATCGTGAATACCCAAAGGCATTCGGCCGGAACCAGGAATTAGTGTCGCCTAATAGGATCATTGAAGTGATCCATACACCAGAAAGACTTCCGTGGATAACGCCATGGTCATGCACCGTCACAAAAGCTTGGATTGGCGCAAGAAATAATCAATGCGTACGATAAAGAACTACGGAAATGACTTTCAAGAGCTGCATGCTTCAGATACCCGTGCGTGCATATGGGGTTATCCATGGAAGGTATGGATGATATGATCGATCACACGGACAGGCGAATGTACACGCCTTTTACATGTACATGTAGCATAGGGTCCTCGGTAGTCAATTGTGCTTTTCTAGTCACAACCTAGATCGCATGATGTAACTATGATGACGGTTCCTGCTGATTGTACACACATAATTCCAATTGGTAAGACACAACGACAATACTGCGCGGTGTCCAATCATCGTTAATCACATGCGAAGACCGTAAGCTACACGTGGGTTAACACATAGCATCTCTATAGCGATACATCAGATCTTGGACATGAGCATGAGCAATGAGAGGTCGTTGTGGTAACTCAACTCAACATTGATCGATAAAGCTCTAGTAACAATCTTCAATGGCAGACGCTTAGGCCTTGACACCCCTAAGGATGGCCACAACCACCTGGTGATCAGTGCGAGTATTACAGTATGGCTGCCGGCCCGATAAGACACGAGAGCGCTGCGGCAATAGAGATGCATCTGAATGAACTGTAAATAGTGGTTTTCGTGAGCTTATGTAGGCACTGATCGAGATCTTCGGTATCCGGAACCTCGAAAAGCTCGGGACCAGCCAATCGTACGTTACTCCTGAATCCTAATGTAAGAGGTCTTGGTTAGATCGGAGCATGTAGTATGGTTCACTACAAGCGCTCTTTCGTCAAGAAGTACGTTGCAGGAACGAAGATGTGAGAAGCGTGACATATCTGCACACCGCACAATTGCTTACACCTGTGAGATCTGCATGAGCTACTTTGTTGCAGTGGACCGTCTATGCGCCATTTTATCTTAGTGCAATGCAAAATGATATGACACGACTTACGGAGACCAGCAGCTACACCAGCAAGGTATTACGATGCCCGTGAGTTGTGGCGCAGCTATACCATTGGGGACGACTTACCAGACTGAATTTGTGGGCCTGTCATGGTTTTCATTAAGGCATGTGCTCAAGGATCCATTGGGTATTCGTGGATATACGGTAGCTGGTACTCGACCGGACCCGTCCCGTAGGCAATCCCGCACAAGGGAAGAATGTTATTATGGCACATTAGTCTCCACTTGCGGAAGTCGACCATCAACGTTCAACGTTCAACCTCTGCAAATATGTTCGTATCATTATAGCGGGTGTTCTACATCCTCACACATTTAACCGCCACCTTGAGACTTATCATCAGATGTCAATTTGATACGAAACTTCTACCAACCTGCGTAGTATTGTCTCTTTTCTAAGAATCTGCATTTCCATTCGTCACCGAAACTGTCCTGGGCAATAGCATAAGTCAATTCCTTGACAACCTTCATGGTAAGGTCGACCAGGCGTCTAAATTGGTTAAAAAATTGCCATGTGAGTCAGCTTCATGCAAGTTGGAACTCTGCAAAAAAACTGCGTCTACTCACCCATTATCATTGACGTCTACATCCAGGTACGTCGAGCTCGACGTTTCTGGTTCTGGTTGGACTTTCCACCATTGATTGGGCAACGCACTAAAGATCCAGGTGGGAAGGGAAAGTATTTTTCGGACTGGCAGCGTAATGAGGTCGGATCTTTTAGGCCCCAGTGCAGTTTGGATAACCAGAAGAATGAGAATATTCGCAAGATCCCTGCCTTTGTGTTGACGTTCAAGGGCTGGCTGTAGACTAGCACCAAGGCGCTGGCATTCATGGGAGTTTACCACGACCGCAGGAATATGCCGTTGTACCAACATAAGGTTAGTCCCAAATTCTGAATGACGTTGATCAAATTTTTAGGTTTCTCTTCTCCTCGGTCGTCCAACCGGTCATCTAATAGTACGACCATGTCATCTGCAGCTCTGCGATCGATCAGCACTTCATGCGAAGATGGCTTTGATGGCGTTGACAGATCAGCTAGATTCTCCTTCCGTCCTTCTTGTTCAGTTCTTGCTTCAGTCAGTGGTCCCATTACAGCCCGTCTAGCAGGTGAGCACCCACCCTGTTCGCGCAACCGTCGAAGTGCACGTCCACCCGCTCCCATCAGTGTCAGGAACCGCAGATCTCGATATGAGAGATCGTAGAACGCTCGTGCCTTCTCGCACAACACCCTCGCACTTTCATTCGGGTCATCGTTTGAACCATAACGAATCCGACCCCCAGTTATTCCCTTCTCGGAGCTGTCCAGCATTGCTGGATAACGCTCCATTGAGTATCATTAATGCAGGGTGTCTGAGTGCAATGGCTTGATGCCTGTAGATATCGCAAAGAAGATCTGTCTGCCACGACGGAAGTAATGACAAGGAGCTTTATCAGAAAGGACCCATCGCAATGCTGAGGACACAATCACTGAGACATAAAATACGCACTTGAAGTATGATACCTCCGAAGGAGTATACATCACTTTGGGTACTAGGGAAGCCCACAGAATTACTTGATTCGTCGGAAATTTGGAGGACATCGACGGCAGAGGGGCGACGTCCTATATCACCCCAGCATTTTTCGATGAAATTTAGAAAGAATCTGCGTCGTGCGGACTCGATAGTCTTGTAGGCTTCTTACCCTTCAGTATCAGGACAATGACTTGATAATCGCTTCGCACATCTGCATAGGGTGGCCTACCTGTCATAACCTATGAAATCTTTAGTCGCAAACTAACGCAACCACTAGGGAACACCTCCAGCCTGAAGCATGATGCATCCGAAGGAATGAATATCGCTGGCTGGTTGAGGAGTCAATGACTCTTCGCTCTCGGGGACCTCGAAGAGCTCTGGCGCAGCCCACCGCACGTTGCTTCTGATGTATGAAGTCCCTGAGAGCTCAGAACACATTGTGAGAATTCCATGATCTGCGGCTACTTGGGCATTGCAGTCCGAATCTATCAGGATGTTGTTCTGGCGTTTCAGATCAGAGCTAGAAGGCGATTATCAGACAACTAGTAGTGCATACGGAGGTAAGGTCACCATGGGCAACGCCCTTCGAGTGGACTGCAATGCCGTTGCACAAACCATCGAGGATTCCACATACGGTAGCTAATGGCTGCAGCGACTTGCTGCAACTAAGGTTCCAATCAATACCATGATGTTGTTGAAGTCCGAAGCTGAGCCGGAAGAGACGCGGAACTGAGTGACATCGGACCAGGAACGAACGCATCGAGCGTCGTCATTCGGCCGAGTGTCAATACGTATGTTTCAGAATCATATATGTTTTTCTCTCCGACTTTTACCGTATGTTAAAAGGCTTCGCACAGCCGTTCGAGCATCTCAGTCCGTTTTGCAACGACTGAGATGTACGTGTGAGGCTGTTGCAGTCAACAGCCGACACTAACAGACAACAGGCAACAAGTACGTGGATGAGCGTATGGGATTGAGCGGTATGGTAAGAGATAAGATACGAAAAAAGGGGCAAGCAGCTCTATATACTATACGGTGTCCAATCAAGATGCGATTCTGTCACGTGTCGTAAGCCTCAGGCTTACACTCTTCCCCATCATCTTTTTGATCTTTCTTCCTCCCAGACGTCCAGCGCCTCACAATCCTCAACATCCCGCCGTGATAGCCATTCATCATCCGCTTCGCCAAACCCAACCCAGCGAACCAAGTATTTCTTTCCGTGTCCCACCTTTCTCTCATCAACGATCCGTTCAATGAAGTTCTCGTGCTGACCGTCTTCCGTCATGACCGGCCCTGGTCGAGGTTGTTCGCGAGATGGGAAGAGGTCTGTGTCGTTCTGGCGATAGGGACACAATTGACTGATATGAAATGTTGGGAATATGTTTGGCGAATTTGGCAGGTCCAATGTGTACGTAGACATTTCTGGATGTGCGTCGAGCATGAGGTACAGTCTGTCGTACCTGGGCATAAACTAAAGGCGTTTATGACGAGCGAGAGGGTCACGAGGAGTCTAGAACGACAAAGACAAGATCTCAGTTGTCTCAAATGAAAACTCTATAACGGTGCGTCTACCTAGAACAACAAAGACAAGCTATAACTAATGTTAGACGCATTGTAAACTCTAGGGACTTTTTGGCACGTACATCTCAGTTGTCTCGAACGAAAACTGAGATGCACATGCAGTACTGCTGGTAATCTTATAGTAAGTTGGTCAGGTACTGGAACATATGAATGAGAGACTGAAAAATAAACTAGGACGCGAGCCAACATCATATGTCGCTTGTTTTCATCCGTTTTGGCGCGTGCTCGAACCATTCTCCCCTTATCACTCGGATCCTTCGGACTCTCTCGACTCTGATCTCCCCCTGGCGTCGGATCTCTCGGCCTCGTACTCCAACACTCCCCCTCGAGCGCAAGCCACGCTCATCATCGTTCGCAACTTCTGGAGTCGCGGTCTCGGCAGGGCCTTTGTAAAGGCATCGGCCATGTTGTCCTCGGAGGGGCAGTAGAATAGCTTGAACGTGCCGTTCTTGACGTGGGAGCGGACGAAATGGTATCGAAGGTCTATCACTGCAGGCATTTGCCCATGTTCCTCCACCAAACATTCAAAAAACATTGATTGAGAAGATAGAAATTTCCCCTCATTTTTCCTGTCAAAACATTTAAAAAAAGTAATTCATGTTTCAATGATGTTCTGTGTGTGGGACATGATGCAAAAATTGGTCATGTTCCTTCAAGGATAATATTGTATTTTCCATCTATTGTCTTTGAAATAACAGCTTCAAATAATGTTAACTTTCTTATCTATGTTCTTCAAATATACTATGTTTTTCAAATGTTCTGTGTATATTTGAAAAACACAGAGAAGAAAATTAACATTATTTTAAGCTATTATTTCAAGGACAATGGATGGAAAATACAGCATTATCCTTGAAGGAACATGACCAATTTCTGCATCATGGCCCACACACAGAGCATCATTGAAACATAAATTACTTTTTTTCAATATTTTGACAAGAAAAATGAGGGGTAATTTCTATCTTCTCAATCAATGTTTTTTGAATGTTTGGTGGAGGAACATGGGAAAATGCCTGCAGTGTATGTGTTTTGTGCGTGATTGGAACTTGCCGTTGGACGCTAATGCGATGGCAGCCTGGTTGTCACAGAACACGGGGATAGGATTGGGGACGGGGTCGTATAACTCCCCGAGGAGCAACCTAAGGTAAAGTAATTCGCATATCACACTGGTCAGGGCGATATACTCAGCCTCTGCCGTGGATAGCGCGATCAGTGGTTGCTTCCGGGCACTCCATGCAACGGGACCTCTGTTCAAAAGGACTACGTACCCAGACATAGAGTGCCGGTGGGGTTGTGACGCCCAGTCCGCATCCACGAAGGCTTTAAGACCTCCGTCTGTCGAACCGAGCGTCAGCTCGAAGTCTCCCGTGCCCTTAAGGTAGCGTAGCGCCCTCTTGGTGGCCTCCCAGTGAGGCCTACTGGGGTTGCGCATGAATTGCGACAACGTCGCGACGGGGAATGCTATGTCCGGCCTGGTGCTAGTGGCTGCGTACATCAGCAAGCCAATGGCTCGCTGATACGGCACATCGCGCATGGCCTGGATCTCCTGCACCGTGGCAGGTCCCTGGTCAACGGACAAGGTGAGTGTAGGTTCCATCGGTGTTTGCGCACTCTTAGCGTCTCCCATGTAGAAGCGCTCGATGATCATGTCCACATAGGCTTTCTGGGAGAGTGTCAAGGTACGTGCACCACGGTCTCGCGTTACCTTTAGCCCTAACAGCCAGTTCAGCTCGCCCAGGTCCGTGATTTCGAAGAATTTACGGAGCTGGGACTTGAAGTGGGTGATGTGGGAGGTCTGGTTGGCAGTAACGGCCATGTCGTCCACTGAGATGGTGATGACGACGTGCTCGTCCGGTGCGCGTCTGTAGTAGACTGCCTGGTCCACCTTGGACCGGGCGAAACCTATCTTTGCAAAGACTCCTGCTAACTCCTCAGCCCACTCAAAACCGGCCTGCTTCAAACCAGGTAAGCTCCTTTGCAGCCGCAACACTTTTCCTCGCTGACTCTCCGTGAGGTAGCCGGGTGGCGCGCGCATGTAAATCTCCTCCTGGATACTGGCATAGAGGTACGCACTTTTTATGTCGACTTGGTGGATTTCCCAGTCGTTCTGAGCCGCCATCATCAATACAGCGCGTATGGTGCTCATGTTGGCTGTGGGCGCAAACATGTCAAAGTAGTCGACACCGAACTGCTGCTTCTGGCCATTGGCAACTAGTTGTGCCCGCAGTTTGAGTTTTTCGCCGTCGGGTCCACATTTCGTTGCCAAAACGAAATGGCAGGGGATGAGGTTAGCGCCGCGAGGTAAGTCTACTACTTCCCACGTCCCCAACTTCTCAAGCTGACTTATCTCGTAATCAACAGCTTCCTGCCACTCTACTCCATCCGGTCCATTTAACGCCTGTTGCAAGGTGGGCTCTGGTTGGGTGACTGCCAAGGCAAGGTGAAGGTGAGTTTCTTCATCCAATAAATCTACCTCTGACGCTTCCAACAGGTTCTCCATCGCTATGGCCGCTGCATTGCTGCCTTCATTCAGGCTAGCATAGTAGCCCGGAGGAGGTCTGGCCCTCGTCGTCCTTGGAGGAGTAGATGGTTGAGGTTGCTGAGGAGTAGATGGTTGAGGTTGCTGGGCGGTAGATGGTTGAGGTTGCTGCTGCATGGTAGTGGTGATGGGCTGGATGCTATGAGGTGAGTTATTATTACCATTGCCGCTGTTATGTTCGTTAACAGCAGTAGGCTCCCCCTCGTCCAGTGCATCTACCAGGATCTCTGCCGGTGCAAAGGTGAGGTTCCTCTCCACCGATACACGGTGTTTCCCCGGCCAGTACACCCTATAACCCTTGCTTTCAGCATCTACCCCCACAAAGATCGCCTCCTCCACCTTTGGCTCCAACTTCCCAGCATCCAGCACGTGGACGAAGACTTTCGCCCCGAACTCATGGGCTCGCGACAAGTCCGGTTTGGCCTTCCGTACGAGCTCATATGGTGTTGTGCCGGGTGTCGACCGTGACGGTAAGCGGTTTTTCAACCAAGTTGCGTAGTTGACCGCCTCTGCCCACAGGTACTTAGGGAGATCTCTCCCTATCAGCATGGCCCTAGCATGCTCAACAAGGGTCCGGTTCAGGCGTTCGGCCACACCATTCTGCTGAGGTGAGTTGTGGACGGTTAACTGACGCTCGATACCCTGCTGACGGAGGTACAGGTCGAATTCGGCGCTGAGATATTCTCCCCCTCTGTCCGAACGGACCTTGTGCAGCCTAACTCCTGGCATCTGACGTGCCAACCAGGCTTCATAGGCCTTAAATGCTGTAAGTGCCTCGCTCTTCAATTTGAGGAACTGAACTTTAGTCTGCCAGCTGTAGTCGTCCGTGAACGTGACGTAGTACAGGCACCCGGCGATGCTTGCCGTTTGGGCAGGGCCCCATAGATCAGTGTGCACGAGCTCACCATAGGTAAGTGCACGGCTCGTGCTCTCCTCTGGGAAAGGCTTCCTCGTTGACTTAGCTTGCACACAGGTTTCGCAAAATTTGGCTTTCGACGCCTCATCCAGTTCTAGGCCAGTGACTAGGCCCTTCCAGATCGCATCAGCGGCTGCAGTCTGGGACACGTGGCCCAGTACTTTGTGGGCGCTGCTGATGGTAAGCTTCCCTTTTGCGATGTTGGCATGATGCTGACGTTGTTGTCCTCCTGCGACACTATACAGGCCTTCAACCTGGGGGGATCTCTGCAATGACCTTCCGGTCTGGCCCTTTCGACAGGAGCTTGCACATCCTGCCCTTGAACAGCACGGCTAGGCCAGCCGCTGCGATACGATTCGTGGAAATTAGTGTAAAGGCCATTTTCGGTGCGTACAGTGCATTTTTTAATGTGACCTTTGTGCGTTTCTCACCGAGCGGTAGCTCCAGGTGCACGTCTCCACGGCCAATCGCACTCAAGCTCGAACCATCAGCTGTGCGAACATCTTGGGGAGGGATGCTCACAAAGTTCGTGAACTTTGCCCTATCAGGGCAAAAATGAGAGGTCATGCCCGAATCTACGATTGCGCCTCGT